CTGGAGAAAAGGGAAAAACTGCCCAGAGATAATCTAATCCAGTCCAGGTTCCTGGGCCCAGGGAGCTAGTGGAACAGGCCGTGAAGAAACCTAGAAAGAGGACAGTTAGACTCCCAAAGACAGCCCTAGGAACTGAGAGGTCTCCAGAGAATGGGTCAGTATGCATAGTTTCTGAATCTCTGCCCATTTCCTGCTTTCTTTCCTTTTCTCTTGCTATGACCTCTTCCTCTGGTACTGGAAACCCAAAACATTCTGTGGTCCTTCTTGCTGTCTTTTGCATACATGTAATGTTAAAAATAGAGAGAGAAAGAATAAAAGAGATACCTAATGCCAAAACCTCAAGGGAATCTTGATTCAATCAAATAAACATTAAAAAACGAATTATGCATCACTTTGAGAATTTGGACTTTGTAATCCATTGTTTTAAATTTTTTAGACGTTTTAAAGAACCCCCTCAAATATGTATGGTTAAAATGATATGATATCTGCAATTTGTCTCAAAATAATTCAAAGTATGAGAAGGGATGAAGTCAATAATCACACAAATGGAACAATATTGGCCATGACTGGTAATTGTTTAAACTGGATGACAGATACATATTCACTCTACTTGAGTGTTTTAAATTATCTGTAGTAAAATGTTAAAACATCATTATCTTTATGTAAAATATACAGCAGGATCTCAAATAATGTTTTTTCTTTATAACGTTGATAGAAAAAATGTTTAAAAAATTATTTCCACAGGGCCTGCTATCTGTGTGGCGTTTGCACGTTCTCCCCACATTTGTATGGTTTTTCTCCAAGAACTCATTTCCTCCCATATCTCAAAGGTATGTTAGGTGAATTGGCGTGCCTAAATTGCCCCAATCTGAGTGAGTGTGGGTGCAGGTGTGAGTGCACTCTGTAATGGTATCCTAGCCAAGGTTGGCTCCACCTTGTGCCGAGCTGTAGGGATAAGCTCCAGCCACCTGTGACCTTGAACTGGAATAATTGAGTAAATAATGATCTTGCTTGTTTTTGTTTTAACCTGTCTTAAATGTACGTAGAGTAGACATTTATTTCAATGTTTAATACTTAAAGTATTTTGGTCATTCTTTAGAAGATTGGTAATGTTTTTGTGACCAGAAATATGCCATAGAAACTAAACTCTTATTTATATCAATTAGCCTATGCTAAAATTGGTTTCATTATGTGTAGGTTTACTTAAAGTTGCAGTTACCAAGAACCTATCAACTATGTTAAGTGAGAAATTACTGTATTCTGAATTATTTATATTTTCTAGACATGTATTATAGTTGTATGATTTTTAAAATGGGTTTTTACTTAAAATTTCAATAGTGGATAATAATCCTATCTAGATAGAATGCTGGAGAGTGCCCATAACCTCCTCTTAAATCCTACTGATTTTTCTTTGTGGTGGTTTTTTGTTTGGTTGTTTGTTTGAGAAGGGTTGTTACTATCTTTCTTAGACTGGTCTTAAGCTTCTGGGCTCAAACAATTCTCCCACTTCAACATCTCAAGTAGCTGGGACTATAGGCACATACCACCATAAGGCAAATCCTAGTGGTTTTGATTTTTAAAAGTGTGTTCTGCTATTTATTGTTTTGTATAAAGTCGAATATACCTTCAACTTCTCCCCGTGATAACTACAGATTTCATAATTTATTAAATGTCTTTGCTTTTCCACAGATGTTAGTACCTTCAGCATAAAAAAACATTATGTAATTGTTAATGCTTGATTTGTTGCTAAAACTCTATAGTCATGAGCTATAGAACTACTTTGAGTGCTGTGAAATATTTCATTGATAGTTAATGTTGGTCAAATCAATGCAATTCAATTCAAACTTTCACAAAGCACCTGTTACAAGAAAATACTTTGGTGGCGCATGTAACACCAAGATAAATAAAATAAGGTCCCTGCCTTGAATTCTATTAAATAACAGAGAATAAAGACACATTGTAATGAATACCAAAAATAGGGAAATAAAAACGCTGTTTAAAACCAGGTGCAAGTGGGGAAGAGATAGAGGGACAGGGAAAGAGTTTCCAAAGGATAAATGTAGGAAAGCATCAATTACAGTAGGCAACGTCTTAAATGTCATCACTCATAGCCTTAAAATCTGAGCTGGACTTCAACATTTGGACAAAAGTCTGCAGTCTGGGAGAGATGGAGGATGATTTCAAAGAAACGACTTTTTTCTGTGCTTCTATAATAAATAAGAAACTTTACTCTTTCTCATGTCTATTTGAAAAACAAAAGAATTAAGGATGATATATTTCTTATTTTGTACTTTATTGCAGTAATATTTTTATTTTCATGGTAATTCAACAACATTTCAGCTTAATGACAGTCTAATTATTGGGTAAACATCACAAATACTTGAGTCAAGGGTGACATTCTGTCTTTTGATATTTTATATTTGGTTGCCCAGAAAGAGAGAGATTGCACCATTAAATGTTGCCTCTTGAAACATTCTTAATAGGGAGTGGGGGCAGAAATCCTATGTTAATATGAGAAAAGAACTATCAAATAAATCATAATTTTAATTTTCCCAAAAGCATTTTTTACAATTTAAATATATTTTTGCATTTATTTTTATTTCTCCGTGGTATTATAAAATCTTTTAGAATGTACTGTAACTCACTTAATCGCTAGTATATTCTAAGCAGCCCTTCTGGGAATTCTTAACAGAAACAGCATGAAGTGGGTGCTAAGAACACTGCAGCTTGCTTTATAATTTACAATGTAGGTGTAAATCCTTTCTCTTAAGAATAGCACAAAATTGCCATTTAATTCACTTCAGGAACATTTAAGTTAGGAACATTTATACTTTAAAATAACACTGTGTTTTCCTCAAGTCATGGCCAAGTGAAATGTTCACCCAAAGTGCTGCACATGTATAATGCGTAACCAGTGTAATGTTACATGGTGATGATTATATAATACGTAAGATAATAAATAGGAACAGTCCTGTTAGTTAATATCTTGACTAAGCCCAGAATTACATCTATTGAAATATCTTATGTCTCCAAGATATCTGGTTCAAATTTTCAGTGTTAACCACCTAAGCTTTCTTTCAAAAGATGAGTCCATCCTGTGAAAGGCTAGAAAGTCAGATAAGAGAGAAAGAAAAATTCTGATGATGTGCCCTGTTATCAGATTGTAAAGAGGCTAAAATAATACATATTTATACAAAGCATAAAAAAGTCACAGAGGTTGCTGGAGGGAAAAAGAAGTCCTGCAAAAGTAAGAAAATGTGAGGATGGTAAAGGTGACAAGTGAATGGTAAACATTTGGGAATCACAGCAGGCCAAGAAATACCCAGATGAGGGATTGTGGTAAAAACCAAAAGAAGGGAAATCTAGAAGCAGGTGTACTTCGAGTTGAGAGGTGTGGTTTCATAGATGGGAGAAGCTGTTTCATGAATGTTTTCTCGGTTATGCTTTTTCTATGAAAGAATAATATTGAAGCAATAAAATGTTTAATATTCAGGAAATGAACTGTGACTTTCTCATTTTATGTAATAATCAAGGTTTGCAAAGAAAGTTGAAAAAAATAAAAAACACAGCCAACGTAAGCATCAAACACAGACACCCAAAGAGTACATTAAGGAGTAGAAAGTTTGGGTTGAGTTATTATTTATTTATTCATTTCAAACATTTATCATGACCCAGCTGATTGTCAGACACTGCTCTAAATATTAAGCATTCAGCTGTAATGAAGACAAACCCCCTACTTTTTTGGAGCTGCTATTCTAATGAGGCTAGGGAGAGAGAGACTACAGTTACACACAAACAACTTTATATGGTGATTGATATTTTAGTAGCAATAGAAAATGGGTGAATGTGCTAGAGGTTGAGTGTGCTTGGACAACACTTTATGAGCTGAATGATGAGGGAAGGCTCTCTGTAGAGAAGGTGACATTTGAGCTGAGAACCTGAATTACTCACAGGAAGGGGTCCGTTCTGCATTCTTGGCAAAGAGAAGAGCTGGTGGCCAGACACTGAGACTGAAGAGGCCAGGCATTTCCACAGGGTGGAAGAATAGTGGATGTAAAGTCCCAAAACCAAGATGAGAGTGGTAAGAAATCTGGACAATGGCCACGTCTTGTATACCTCCTAGGCCATGGTGAGGAACTCAGCCATGAGACACTAGTGGAGAATTTTTAACAGGAAAGACATATAATCTGATTTCTACTTTGAGAGGATCACGCTGCTCTGGGAAAGCTGTAGGGGGATGAAGAGTGGATGCAGAAAGAACAGGTAGGAGGCTGTTGCATTAGCTCAGGCATGTCTTACATTAAGATAGCAGCAGTGGATACAGTGGAAGTGATCCATTCATTCTATAATTTGAAGGTCATCCTAAAAAGAATTGCTGACAAACTAGATGTCATTGTTATTTGTCCTAAGTAACTGAGTAAAAGGTAGGAATTAGTTTGGCGTTGAAATCAATTACTAGTTTATATGGGTATATAGTTGGATATTTATGTCCAAGTTCAGGAAAGACACTAGATTTGAAGAAAAACAATTAGTAGACAATAGCTTGTAGATGACATTTAAAGGCATGGAACAGAATGAGCTCATCTGAGGAAAGAAGATAGTTAAAGAACAGGGCCAAGGGCCAAGCTGTGGCCTTAAGCCAATATTTTGAGGTCAGGAAAAGAAGAAATTCAACATAAGGAATGACAATGAGCTAGGAAAAGCAGAAAGGATGTGACCAACTGTGTTAAATGCTGCTAAGAGGTAAAACATGATGAAGTCCAGTAATTGACTGTAGGGTCTGGTAGGACAGAGGTCATGGTTGCTGATCTAAAAGAAAACTGTTTTGTAGCAATACTGGAGATGCAAGCCTCAGTAAAGTGAGCTGAAGGACATAAACATAACCAATAAGAAAGAAGAGGTGTAGACAATTGTCTCCAGGAGTATAGCTTTAAAAGCAGAGAAAAAGATAAGTTGGTAGATGGTATGTGGAAGACATACTGTTGAGAGACTGAGTTTTATTTCTTTGTTTTATTGTTTCTTTTAGGATGGCTGATATTAGACATGCATGTGCATACAGCAAAGGGAGTAACCCAATAGTGAGGAAGAAATTGATGCTGTAGGAGAGAGGGAATAATTGCCGAAGCAAAGATCTTGAGGTACTGAGAAAGGATGACCTTAATTTCCTTAATGATGCAGTAAGTATTTGTTTGCTATAAGTCTTAACTAAGCCACTGAGTAAGGTGATTCCAATTTAATTCTTCTGGGCTGGGTCCTGTGCATCAATATTTTTTAAAAGCTCCCTGGTTACTTCTAATGTGCAGCCAGAGTTGAGCAGCAGTAATCTAAACAATAGTGTTTTGTGTTTCTCATTCCTTGACTTTTCCTTAGAGTTTTATGACATATATATGTGTCCCCAGCAATTTACTGTTTAGTTGTGCATGAACCTTATATAAACAGAATCACACTGTATGTAGTCTGTATATCTTGCTTTCTTCTATTTATGGAATTCATACCTGATGGTGCGTGATGCTCTAACTCATTTATTTTCACTTCTCTAAAGCATCCCAGGTATGAAAATGAACAATTAATCCATTCTCTTGTTGGGTGGATATTTAAACAGTTTTTTTTTTGCTAGTTTTTAACTACTGCAAATTATGCTGCTATGAACTCTCTTGAAAATGCAATTAACTCACCATTACAATTGTTTCCTGGGAAGTGGGAATATAAACTCGTATAACTAATTTTTTTTAAATTGATATTAGATGTTTGTTTTTCAAAAATGGTAATTTTACTTTATGTTCAGTTCTATAATTGTTGCTTATCATATACTATATTTTGATATTGTTTTGAAAACCAAATGGTTTACATTTGGTTGCAGTTCAATTTAATATTTCTCTTCATTATTTATTTTATTATTTTGTGCTTAGAAAATTCTCCACCATCCAATAGCAAGTCAAAATTCTTGTAGTTTTCTCGGTTACATTTATTGTAAATCTAACTCTTTAAAATACCTGAAAATTTTATTAAATATAATTAAAAGATAAATTACAAATTGGAAAAACATTGACATACAAAGTGTCAATGGGAAGAAAATCTATCAAAAAACTGCCTCTAGACATAAACAGATAATTTACTAAAAAAGCATCATTCATTGCTAATAAACATGTGGGCTATGTTCAGTCTCAGTAATTGAAAAAATAAAATGTTAAACTATTATGTAACAGTTTTCGCACTTGTCAACTTTTTAAAATAAAAATGTATAAGTCAGTCATTCTTAAACATTGCTGGTAGAAGTATTTATAGCACCAAATTCTTGGAAAACAATTTGATAACATACATTAAGAGCCATTTTTAAAGCCATAATTATGTGTCTACAATTCTATTGCCTCGAGATGTGGGTGATTCAAGATGTGGATGAGGAAACATTTTCAAAGATGTTCACTGAGGTGTTCATAATAGCAAAGGAAAAAAAACAGGTTTGAAAAATTCAAATGACCCCAAATAGGGCAATCATTAAATTGTTGCTCATAAAATAAAATATCAAGTCATTTTTAAAATTTTTCAAAAGACAATGACAAGGGAAAATTCTCATAACCGAAAAAAATTATATATATATATTTATATTATATATATATAATCTATGACCTCTGTTTTATAAAATGTTTCTAGCTATATTTCTACCTCTCTCTCTCTCTCTCTCTGTGTCTCTCTATCTCTCTGTCACGGTACATGCCAAAACATTAAGATGGTTCTTTCTGGATATAAGGAATGAAGATACATTTAAATTTTTTCTTTTTATAACGTGTTTTCATATCACCTTTAAAATGCTACTAAGATGATCTCTCTCTGTTTGAATTAGTTGAACAGTATTTGATCTCCTAAAATATAACAGGTTAAGTGCTAAGAATAGAACCATCTTCATGGAGATTTCTTTGATTTTCCTCTAGAAATGTAATCTCTTTCTGGGCACTCATGTTTGTCAAGTAAATCTTTGTCCCTCATTACCTGCTTTGCTTTTTTCTTATTTTAAACCCTGAATCTACCTCTTCAACCCCCACCAACAGCCATATGATCAGGTCGACAGGAGTTGATTGACCCACATCAAATATTACCTGCTAGTCTCCCTCACACAAAATAAAGTAAAAGAGGAGAATTAGAAGGAAGCAATATCACTGCAGCCACACTGGGTGCAAGCTTTGAGAATTCTGTGGGTTTGTACACGAGTGAACCAGAGAGAACCTATGGTGTGCTGGGAAAACTTATAGGCCCTGCAGAAATACCTTCTAATTAGTGTTGATTTTGAGTAGAGTTTCTGTCTGAGATACTTCATCTGTAAAACAAGGAATGATACAAGTTCCCTTCCAGGGATGTCATGGAATCGAATGAGAGTGATTTAAGCATAATATTCACACATGATAGGTAATGAATGTTGCTATCATTACATCATTTCAGATCCTCATGTAAAAAATTCGAAACATGTCTCCTGATTGAGATGGTTTAGACCTTTTAGCTAATACATTATAAATGATGAGAAGTCACAGTGTTGATTTCCCAGGCAGGGCATATTGATCCTCTCTTGTAACAATATCCTTTTTTGCAAAAACTTTGTTTTTTATGCCATATTATTGACACACAGATTTTGCAAGATGAATATTGATGCTACAGATCCCTTTCTATTCTTTAAAGTACAGCTAACCATTTTATTTTAATCTGATGCTTTCAGTGTATCAGTAAGTGTTGGTAACATGGTAGTATTTTTCTCTAGAGATGGGGAAAATTAACCTGTGCCAAGCAATTTCTTGAGGTTTATAGAGACCTGTGTGGCTGGAGCTGCAAACTCTGTTATCCTCTTTGTAGACAGGCGGATACCTCAGTCACTGTGGTGGAATTAAAGAAATATTGGAGCTGATTCTGGTCCACCAAGAAGGCGATGTGTTTCAAGCAAGTGAAACCAGAAACAGGGAGGAGACCTAGGTTACACTTTCAGAGATCCAAGTAGGAAGACAGAGCTGGAGGTCAGGGCAGCACAGGACTGCAATGCAGCAAGATCGATTACAGAAGTATCTGCAGAATATCTTAGTCCTCACAGGGGACATGGACAAGAGGCACAAGCTAGGAGGATCCATGTCTACTTTGAGCTGGCAGTCATGACAGAAAGAGCCAGCCATGTGAGGAGGGAACCCACCTAGGGGCTCCATCCACTGTGCAGTGATGGCTCAGCCTGTGTTAATGGCCTAAAGCCATACTTCCGCAGATTTCCTCATGTCATCCTCAGGTCAATGTCCTTTGGGTAGCATTTGAGAGGCCACCTCAAGGAAAAGAACCCAGTGAACAAAATTTGTCCTCAACAACATAAGCCTCCATTCTGTGTCCTTCTGTCCCTACTCTGAGATGCTTCCATTTGTCTTTCATATAATCACAGTATCCAACCACCTGCATAAAATATGGGCTCAGAAACGTGATAGTCATGTACACCCCAATGTCCATGTTTTCCTCCTTTTGTCTATTTTTTTTTTTTTTTTTTTTGAGATGTAGTCACACTCTGTCCGCCAGGATGGAGTGCAGCCGCGCAATCCTGGCTCACTGCAAGCTCCGTCTACCGGGTTCACGCAATTCTCCTGCCTCAGCCTCCCAAGTAGCTGGGACTACAGGCACCCGCCACCACACCTGGCTAATTTTTTGTATTTTTAGCAGAGATGGGGTTTCACCATGTTAGCCAGGATGGTCTCGATCTCCTGACCTCATGATCCACCCATCTCAGCCTCCCAAAGTGCTGGCATTGCAGGCATGAGCCACTGCACCCAGCCTATTTTCCTCCTTTTTGGTAAGGATGTCAAAAGGCTTCATCACCCAATCGGAGAGATCAGGAAATACTTTGGAAAAGCAAAAGATCCACACTTGGTAGGATATCCCCTAGAAGTCCAATCCCAGATTTAAATTTTTTTTATAGAAACTCCCTTTCTCAAAACGATTTCTGCCCCTAATCTGTAACTGGTTTGCATGAGTTTGGCTCCCTTGTGGTTGAAAACACTGAACTTCCCAGAAAGGAACACATCAAGCCACCATCGCCGAGCCCCATCTTAGCTTAAATTGTTCTGTCACCACATAGGCAAACTCATAGTCAGTGGAAACAGTTATATCAGTAAAAGGGTGGAAAGAAAGGTCTAGCACCATGGTTTTCACCTCAGCTGAATGGTCAAATCCCCTAGGGAAGAGTGGAAAATACAGTTTCCTGACCTAACTCCAAACCAACTGAATCACAATCTTCTATGCTGGGTCCTCAGCATTTCATTTGTAAAATGATCTTGGATAATTTGATGCACAGTCTAGTTTTGCGAACCCAACATGAGATAAAAGAACTTGAGTAGAAACTGCAGCAGCTAGAAAATCATTAGCATATTGGTCTCTAATTCAACGTAAGCCATACTATTTTCAATGCTGGAGGGGTGAGGCAAGGCCACTCGATGTGCAATGCCAGCACAAAATGTGTGCATCTCAGGATGTCTGCGGAGCCCCAACTTCATCTTCCATGAGCATGGGCAAGAGACAGAACCTCAGATAGAAAATCTTATTTCTTATTCCAAGTCTGCAAATAAGGTGTTACATGTAAATAAAATGCTAGAAATAGTAAAATAGTCTAACAAAATTAAACAAAACCACTTAAATATCCTGCAGTGGGGAGGACTTGATTTAGTTACAGTTTCCATACAATGAGAATAATTTAAGTGATAGTGAATAAATACATTTATATACTAAAAGATGTTATAATACACTGTTGATGAAAAATGTTATAAATATGACATAAACATTATATATGCTATCACTGATATATGCTTAAAATTATACATACATGCACACATGGCAATGTAGCTAAAAAGACTACAAACATTTTTATTAAAATATTTCAAAATGTTTGCTGTGGTTATTTCTGAGAAAGGTGATCAAGGGTGATTTCTGTTTATTTTTTACATTGTTTTCTGATGTGCTTGCAAGGAACATTAATTTTTTTGTAGTCGACTTAATTAAAGAAAACAGCACAATGACATTTTAAAGGCTCTGCAATGAGCTCAATGTCTCAGCATCTTTCACCTAAACTATGACAATAGCTTCCCCTCAATGCTCTTCACTTTTGATCTTGACTGTTTTCAGTGAACTTTGTCAATATCTTAAAATGCAGGCCAATTGGTATTCATCTTCTCCAAATTCAGTGACTTCACATCCACTACCAAACCAAGCCTAGTTTCTTCAGAGGTCATTCCAGGTTCCTCATAATCTTTCTTCAATTCTGTTTCTCACTTTCATTGCTCCATCCATCTCCCCACTCTGCTAGGGTTCTAATCCCATCAGAATACCCCTGGTGCCCCCAGCACACAAAATATTTTGAATGTTAAATGCCTTTTGCACTTTTTTTCTTTACTTTTTAAATTATATTCATTCTTCACAGACTGCTCAGAGATTACTACCTACATCAGGCCTTACCAGCCACACCCTCAGAATTCTTAAACATTACTTATTTTTTAAATTGTATTGAGTTTAATAAATTATAATTGTATCTACTTATGAGGTAAAAAGTGATACTGTGATATATGTATACAATGTAGCATGATTGAATCAAGCTAATTAACATATCCATTATTTCAAATACTTAGCATTTCCACTGTGCCTACACTGCAGATTGGTTGAATGTACACGTACCACCCATTTTTATTCTTTTTTGTTCAACATTTACAGGCCTGCTTCCACCGAGGGAACTGAAGGCTCCTTGAGCAAAATTATCTACCTGTTCACCTTTGGATCTTTCACAGTTCCCAGGTCAGTGTACTACAGATTTTACTCACGAAATAAAAAATCATTGTCATGGTTTACCTAAATGCCAGAAGTGTTAATAATCCAAATGACGCCTTTATTCCCTCCCATAAGCTTTATAAATCTATAGGATTAGAGAAAGGAATCACCTAGATATTCCTGGTGGTAATGGAAAATTGTTTAACCACTCTGGGAAATTGTGTGGCATTTTCCTATAAAACTAAACATGCAATTACCATATGATCCAGAAATTGCACTCCTGGGCATTTATCCCAGAGAAATGAAAACTTAAGTTCACACAAAATACTTGTATTATCCATGTTTTCATGTTTCTGTATCTGATGTTTTGACATCTAAGGCCTTGTTGATAGGGAGGGACTGCCCCTCCCACAGGTTTAGCAGTTGGATTTCCTAGAGTTAGCAGAGGGATTTTTGACTCTCATTAGAGTGAGCCTTTCATATGTGTGTTAGTCCATTTTCACACCGTTATTCTCTGTATCTGCCCATTTTCACGCTGCTATAAAGAATACCTGAGACTGGGTAATTTACAAAGGAAAGAGGTTTGACTCACAGTTCTGCATGGCTGGGGAGGCCTCAGGAAATTTACTATCATGGTGGAAGGTGAAAAGGAAGCAAGGCGCTTCTTACACAGTGGAAGGAGAAGGAGAGTGAACAACGCAAGTACCACACTTTAAAACCATCAGATCTCGTGAGAATTCACTCACTATCACAAGAATAGCATGGAAGAAATCGCCCCCATGATCCAATCACCTCCCACCCAGACCCACCCTCAACTTGTGGGCATTACGATTTGAGATGAGATTGGGGTGGGAACACAGAGCCAAACCATGTCAATATGTAAACAAACCAATCCAAAATTCACACCCCTGACCTGCCTGTTCTTTCAAAGGTTCTTACTCTTGTAAGACACTATTCCCCTGCCCTAATCACCCCAAGGCCAAGCATCAGCCAGCTTCACCACCCTGAAGCATACTGAAATTATTCAGATTGGCCAACTCTAAACTTGCTTAGCCCATTTGCTTTAGAGCAAATGGCCCATTTCTTCCAAGAAAACTATAGTAAAAGCTTTCCTGAAGTTTCCCTTGCTCTCTCTCTGCCTGCAGCTGACCTTGTTGTTATATACTATGGTCCTGCAAAGAATGACACTCTCCCCTCCTCTTGGAAGCTTCGAATAATAAACTTTCTAATGTCAATGTCTCCTGATGTGTTGGGCTTACCATACCTGAATAAAGACAAAGCCCCAGGTGTATTTTAATATAAATCTGTACATGAATCTTCACAGTAACCTTTTTCACAGTAGCCATAAAACTGGAAATAACTCAGATATCCTTCAAAGACTGAATGGTTAAGCAAACCACCGTATCCAACCATGGATTATTACTCAGCAATAAAAAGGAACATGTAACAATTTGGGCGAATTTCCAGAATTACTCTGAGTTTAAAAAAAAAAAAAAAAAAAAGCCAAATCTAAAAGGCTACATACTGTATGATTCCTTTTACATAACATTCTTGAAGGGACAAAAGTGTAGAAAAGAAGAGATTAGTGGTTGCCAGGGCATGAGCATGGCAGAAAAGAGATGGATGTAAACATAAAGAGCAGCTTGAGGGATTTTTGTGGTGATAAAACTGTTCTGTATCTTGACTGTATCAACACCAAGATCCTAGGTATAATATTGTATTATATCTTAGAGAAATGTTACCATTGGGTCAAATCGAGCAAAGGGTACACAATTGTATGTGAATCTGCAATTATTTCAAAATAAAAATTGTAATTAATATAAAGCATGAAACTCTTTAAGAAATAGCTCATGACTGTGACTATTAGTATCTTTTAATAAACATAATCATCTATCCAACATCATCCCCCTGACAGATAAACTCTGCTACTGGCTACAACATGTTAGACCAAAAATAGCTATGCAATTAAAACGTATGCATATAAATATACACACAAATACACACACACATTATAAAATACTGTTTATCATAGATCTTCATGGGGCAAGGAGAAGATGATGGAAATTATCTATAACCCATGTCATAGTATCTGATCTTGAAGAAAACTTAAGAATAATATATAGAAGTGATTAACAGTATCAGTATTAGAGTGATTATTTATTATCCCTTTGTTTTAGAAAGAATCATTAAAATGAGACTAGTATAGTCAACCAAAGATTTTAATTACAAAAGGATATAATTGCCATAACTGTATAATCAAGAGACCAAGTAAGGCTATGATGCAGTAAGGAGTTACAAACCATAGTCGAGGGCACAATTATGTACAGGAAGACTGTACTTACACATCGAACAGTTCATCAAAGTCACGACCAAAACAAAACGCACGCTTGTAAGTACCAGTCAAAGCAAATCCAAGTGGATGCTAGATGCTTAAAAAACTGAAGAGGAAAAAGAGATCTGTTCAGAAAGTGATGATAAGTCTACCAAACAATCAGAGACAAGTAGGAGTCTGAAGTATGTAAAGGGCGAGGATGGGATCCTTACAGACATGGCTTTCTGGAATGGGAAAGATGAAGGCCTTGGGAATCAATTAATGGGATTTGAGGGAAGTCATTGGAAACAATAGAAAACATGGAACAAAATAATGTAGTGCTAACTAAGCAATAAGTGACCTCACTGACCATTAATCAGAAACGGGAAGGTGGGTGCAGGACAGGTACTCGAATCCTGAAAAATAGGTTCAGCAATGGCTGCTCTGGCTGTGGCTGCATCTTCCTTGGGAGGAGGGACTTTTCATTGATTGTTAGACGTTTGGCTCGTTCCCTTGGGCTATGAGAGGGCCGAGGTGTGAAAAGGTTGTTAAAGAAAAATATTTCTTAATGCTTATTTCCCACCTGCAGTCTATTATTTCAATCTTGGATTTATTTAGGGATAATAGCAAAATGTCTCAGGCTTTTTTGTTCGTTTGTTTGTTTGCTTGTTTTGCAGTGGATCTAGGGAGCTTTGGCCTTTGGGGGAGATTTTCTTGGAGAAAGTCAAGCTCCCATAGTGTATTATTTTGCAAAGACTGCTGTAATAAGGTACCACAAACTGTGTGGCTTCAACAACAACAATGTATTATTTCATGGTTGTGGGGACTAGAAGAAGTCCAAGAATCAACGTTTTGGCAGGGTTGTTCCTTCTAAGTTCTGTGAGAGAAGGATTCATTCCATGCCTCTCTCTTTGGTTTAGAGTCGACTGCCTTCTCCCTGTCTCTTTATATCATTGTCTCTGTATGTGTGTTTGCCTCTGTGTCTACATTTCCCCTTTTATAAGAACACCAGTCCCATTAAATTAGATCCTCCCCTGATAAGCTGATTTTAACTTGATTATCTCCATAAATACCCTGCCTTCAAATAACATCACATTCAGAGGTCCTGGAGGTTAGGGCTTCAGCATATGAATTTGGGATTCAAATCATAACACATTGGAAACCACAGATTAGGCATTAACAATTATTTAGGCACTTAGTGTTCTAGATTGGGTTAACAGTGTGGATGAAGATAACCTACTAGATAATAAGAAACTGACCCAAAGATTGGGGAAGCAAGGGGCTCAAACTGCATTAACTCAATTTGAGACAGGCAAGCAAGTTATTGTCCTACCAGACGCTTGGAAATAAAATCCACCTGGATTCTGCTAATGGAGTGTGGGGTGGCTTTACAGTGGGGAAGGGAAGCTAAGCTGGCCTTGTGAGTGTGACCTTTTAAAACTTCAATACACTATTGCTTTTGCTTCTACATCTGAATGCGCAGGAATCAATGTGTTACATGTTTCGCTGCTCCATATATTCCAGAGGGGACTCTTTAATTCAGGAAGACCCACAGGTAGAGAAGTAGCAGTGTGACATATACATTGCTCCCCATTTATGACAAGGTGTTCCCCAAGATGCACTGTTTTATGCTACCAGTAAGTCACTCACTGTCTTTTTCTACCAGGGAGTCAGTCTGGATTTAGTACGAGTAGCCCTACCCAAAGTTTTCATTTCAATAGTGCCCCGTTGATTGGTGAATCAGAAGTCTTGGTCACCACAGCCTAGACTGTGGTGTTACCAAACCTCCACCAATAGCGGGGGGACCTGAGGGGTGGTGGCCTGCTTCCTGATATAAACAAACAGTCCTCAGGGACACGCTTACAAAATAAAGCTTCTTGAGACCACGTGGGTGGATTTACAATGCTGAATCCCTCCGTGAGTCAAGAAAAACTGCTCTCCCTTTAAACCTCCAACATCCAAAACGAAGTTGAGTACCTTATTATACTTGTCAGGTATTGAAGAGAGAGATAGCATAGGCCTCATCTGGGCCTTCTATCTGGTCTTTTACATCAGCTAACCTGCATATCAACATCTTTTGAGAATAGCTCCAGTGCAAGAAGCCATGTGGGATGCTGTGCGAGCTATGATATGCGTTCCATTCTTGAGACCCAAGGCCCTAATGACCCTATTGTGCTGAATGTCTTTGTAACTGATGATTTCACCAACTCGGGCCTCAGGCAAAAGGAGGCACCCTCCATCTGGAGGTTCCCCTTGGGGCCGCTTCCCTGACAGGGCTACTAGATAGTCCTAATAGGTTTTGTAACTAGTTTGTTTCTGGGGTTTTCTGGACATCTGATATCTGGACATCTAAAAAACGGAGGCCTTGTTACTCCAGCTTGACATTCTTATTTTGGGTGGCTGAACTCAAACTCAATAATGACATAGGAAGAGCACAGTAAAACTTCTTGGTCAAGTGGAAATGGTACCAGTGTTATAAATTGGCTTTACATGAAAATGTGGCAGCTATCTCTTCGAAGGAAGAAGTTTTTCTACAAACTTGGGCGTAGTTCACTGACAGTTTAGCTCAGTTAAAACTTGATGGTATGCACTGGCTGACTGTGGCTGTTTAACCTCAGCACCAGCTATGAAGAATAGAAAATGGAAGTGGTCCCTCTACTCAGTAAGTGGAATTCAGAGTCACTCTTTGAACTCTAGGCAATATTCCCCTTGATGA